CAGAACAAATGTGATCAAAAGGATAGCTATCCTGTCATCATATAATTTCTCTGGGCTCTTGTGTTAATTTCATAAATCAAGCTATCTCAAAATAACTCAGTAGTCTGTTTATACATCTAGTCCCTCCACATTCCCTATTGTTGAAATTCTGTCTAGATAAAGAGCTCTTATGTATTGAATTCCATTCATTGACCCTATAAATTGACTTAGTAAATCACGTATGTTCCAAAAATTCTCTCAATAAAAAATACTACCGCTGTCCAGAAGACATCCACACACCAAAAGATACAATTAGAACCCTAGAGGGGAAAAGTTCAGCATTTGCTGATTTCTCTTCTAGCACTGTTTTCATCTCAGTTGTACGAGTTGCTACAAAAAAATTGTTTTAAAATCTTCAGAAACCTAGTTAAACATATAAAATATGTTCTGTAGAATAGTGACTTAAATTTCCTACAGCCATCTCTTATATACACCTCTGCCTCACCGCCTCCCCCCAACCCTCACACACAAACGCCTTTAATGACAGGGCTGAAAAGTCTTAGTACAACTTTCAAAGTCCCCCTTCCTCTTGTGATCTGGACTTCATAGAACTTCCCTTCCAGTGTCCCATGTTGGGCCCGGCGTGGTGGCGCAAGTGGTTAAGGTCCAGTGTGCCATATTATAGTTGAAGTGTAAACTATTGTTTTTCTAAATATAGCCCACAATTTTTCTCAGCTATGTCTTTCACTTATGTTGCTCTAACACTTAAATTTCTTCTTTCACCAAGACTTACAAATCGAGATATGCTGAAATGAGAGCAGTTTTTCGAGATATTTTTTCTCAAATGTGAGTCTGTGTTCAAATTTCTGATTATCCTTAGTTATTTCTTAACATCTATAATTCCCGAAGTAAATTCTTTACAGCTCGTGGGTAGTCTACTTTATTCTTATTTTAATCACGTGTTTTACCCATTGCATGCTCATAATAATGGTGAGAAGACTTTATGTTCTATGCATCCTTTCTATATCTCTCAATACCATTAAAGAATGAGTAGTGGACAACATAACCTATATAATTAATGCAGTGAAAATAATATCTCATATTTATGGATAGCATCATTTTTCAAAACTCTTGCTCATTTATTACCCAGATAGAGTTCCTAGCTCCTAGCTTCATTCAGCCTGACCCAGTCATAACCCTTCTAGCCATCTGAGAAGTGATTCAGCAGATAGAAGATTTCTGTCTGCCTCTTTCTGCCTATCTCTTTCTCATTCTGACACCTTGCCTTTCAAATAAGTGAATCTTTAAACAACAATATAATCAAAAACCAGCTCCTAATATTTTCACCACATTAGCTTCCTCCTTCAAGTAAACTTTTATGCTAAAGTGTTTTCATGTTAAACAGGTTATCTTTCTTTTTTTTTTTTTATTGTTGCTTACATTATATTATGTAGTACAGTTTTATAGGCGCTGGGGATCCCCCCCACCCCTCCCATACCCCTCCCCCCATGGTGGATTCCTCCACCTTGTTGCATAACCATAGTTCAAGTTCAGTTGAGATTCATTGCTTGCAAACACCTGCCTAGCATAAAGTTCAGCGTCTTATTGTCCAGATAAGTTCAGTGGCCTCTATTTCAGCAAATATTGCCTGATTACCTTTGCTATATTTTTTCCATTATAAGATTTCATAATCAGAATGGTATAGATCAAAGTTGTTTCCATTCCTATTTTCAGTCTTTCCTTGAAATAGTCCTAGAATTCAGAGTACATCCAGATTTTCCTTATAATTAAAACTTGTTCCAGTTTCTACTTTCCCTTTTTAAAAAAAAAACTATTTTATCTTTTTATTTTATTTATTTGAAAGGACAAGAGTTAGAGAGTTAACAAGGAAACAAAGACAGTTCATTTGGTGGCTCATTTCTCCAAACGGTCCATTTCCCTCATTCCTGAATGGGCAGAGGCTATGTCAGGATGAAGCCAGGATACCTGTGTGGGTAGCAGGAAACCAGATACTTGAGACATCATTTGCTGCCTCCTTGGATTACATTATGAGCAAACTGGAAGGGAGAAGAAAATAAGACTCCAATCCAGGAACCCTGGATTGGATGCAAGGGTGCTTGGGATGCAAGGGTCCGAAGCATCATCTTAACTACTACACCAAAGACCAGCACTTATGCTCCCTTCTTTTCACAGATACACTGAGCTACACAAAACCATTTCCACTAAAGTTAATAACTGAGAAATTTGGAACATTTGCACTTCATTTGACTTATCTGTGAAACACATAGTTATTTTAGCAGACAGTTGGAAGATACATTTTGTGAATAGTGAATTCCCTAGGAAACCAGTTTCCCAGCTCTGATTTAGCGTGTGCTAAGTAAAATATGGACAATTATCTCAAATGATGTAGTGAAATTATCTCAAAAAGCAGACTGATTTTAATCCACTCTGATCTTAAAAATTGGTAATGCCATATGTACTTCATAAAAAGAAGGGGAAAAAAAAGAAAAAGAAAGAAGAGAGCTGTTACTAGTTTCTTAAACCTGAAAAATTATGGCTTCAGGAAGCATTGAGGGAAAAAGTCCTGAATTTGATACCAGACTTGAGTCCACATAATCACAAACAAAATTCATTTTTTACCAGGCCTGTAGTACCTAAAAGAAGTTGCAGACAAGGTAATGTTTATGTATTTAGTATCTCTGAGCTATATGAATAAATGACTCAATAATGTGATGAATATTTTATCAGATAAAGGAGCTTCTTTTTGAAAAAGTGAAGGGTTTGGATAATATAAGTATTAAGCAAAAATGTCAGTGCATTATTGAGTTCAGAGGCTTCTGACTATACTCTCTAAATATATCATGTACTGTGCAAACCACTGTTGAATTTGTAGCTTAAATTGTTTAAGCAGGACCGTTTTCTCACAAGAGCACTTTTGGGTGGGACTCCCATTTTCAGGCCTTCCCAAATGGCTTTTCATAATAAATAATAAAAAGACAAGTATCTAGTTTCCTATCATAAGGGTTAGTAGAAATTAACCATATAATTCGGTTCCACAGCAAATGCAATGAGGCAATATGATGTGACAGAATACAGTGAGTAAGAAGAAGAGCATGAGTCCTTAAGTGATGATACCAAGTTTAAATTACAACACCTGTGGTTTTCATCTACTTACTTGACACATCTTGGTATAGCATTACTTATTTGTATAAGAGGAGTTGTAATAGTAATTTCCTTATGGGAATATTTGGGGTGTTAAGTAAGATGATTTGTGTAACATATATTTGGCATAGGAAATTCTTAGTATACTGTTTTATGTTTTGAAACTTAGTGCAGTTAGCTAGAAAGGTTCATTATGTTTCGTTTGCTAATGCCATTATATTTTAATTGGATAAAGAATGAAGGCAAGCACTGTCATCTACCAGGTGCCAGCATTGTGTACAAACTGTATTCTCAGGATGATATTAGCATTAAACAGACCAAACATTTGTAGAAAAGCAACCTCCAGTCACTCTTACTTTGAAATATTGCTGTTGGATGTATAATTGTCATAATCATTTGGAAAATCAATTGAGCAGAACCTATTAAATGAATTGTGCACATCCTAAGCAATCCCAAATCTTTGTGGGATGTTAGAGAATCATTCACATTGCACAAGGATTTTTTTTTTTTTGGTAACACAATGAAAATCTGAAATAATTTAAGCAAACTTTATGTTATATTATTAATTAAAATAGTTAATTCAGGCATATCTAGTTTCTAAATATTATTTATACCTTAAGTATTCCTATAAAAATATAGCTAACAATAGTGATTACTTATTTGCAAGTCATATGAATGGAGGAAGATAGCTAAGAGAACATCTTCATATATGTTTTCAATTAAGAATGTATTTCTGTATTTTTGTACAGTTTTAATGTACTTCTCTCTTTGTCTTTCTAACCTTGTCTTAGTTCTGGATGCTAAATATAGTAGCACATGGTTGTGCTCATAATCATTTCCCTGAACTGAAAAACACATACCTATTTGATCTTCAATTCTTAATTCCCTATAACTGTCTGGGCAAGTCACCTTTGCTGCCAGAAAGAAAACCAGGAACATATTCAAAGGGGGCCTGGAAAAGGGGTAGTAGTGTTGCAATTCTTGTAAGGGGGTGAAGGAAAACGGAAATGCTACAAGTTGTACAGAAGCAATAAAGCAATGAGCTATGGTTCTGTTTTAAGAACACATACTGTGTTTCATACAGCTATAATTCTATAATAATCAGTGTTTCTCTTATAAATTTATGTTTCCGCTTTTTAACAGTCCTCATGTGCTAAAGCAAAAAAAAATACATTTTTATTTTTCTTGAAAAACATCCAAGAGTTTTCAATTAATTGTAACTTACACTAAGATATAAAGAGGAACTCAGCACACTAGTAAAGCTATACAATTTGCTGATTTAGGAAAAAAGCAAACCATACAAATGCAGACAATATGGTGATCATCTAATCAAGCTATTATTAAAAATAATATTTTTCAGTTTTATGATTCAGTGTTTTTACTGCAGAACCTGATCTTTGAAATTAAACCAGAAGCAGATAAGACAAGGCACAATTAAGAATTAGTTTGATGTGATCTAGTGGCAGTAGTTGAATTTTCAGAAGTATTTTCATATACTGGTATAAAAGAATATGTAAGCAAAATGCTTTTGTTTGATGAAATTTTGCAGTCTATGAAATAGCAATGATGTGCATATACGATGTTTTAAAAGGAATAAAAAGGAATAAAAACATTACAAGAAGAACATGTTGATATGAAATCTCTCAGGAATTCTTTTGTTATTAGGTTACTTGCAAAAGTGACAAAGCAATTGAATAATATACTCTTTGGAAAGACGTACATCATTTAAGAAAGCACTATATCACTTCCTTCTAGCAAGTAAACTTATTATAAAAACAAAATAAATAAAACCTCAAGAACTAAGACTTACAAATGGTATTGCTCAATAACAACTTCTGAATCCTCTGTTCTCCCAACAGGAACTCCATTCTCCAACTCTGAAAATATCTACTTGTGCCCCAAGCACACTACATATAACACAAAATAGTGAACAGGTAAAAGTAGTTATGAATTATTCAGTATGTATTTAGCTTTACATAAGCCTTACTTATTTGTGTAAGCCATCTTTAGGCTCTCGTAAAACTCTACACATTCACAAAATGTCAAGAAACTAAAACAAACAAAAAAGAGATTTCCATATATGGAAATGAGCTCAGTCTAATAAAGGAATATGAAACGAGGGTTATGAATCACACCTTTGAGTTTCATTACCTATTCAGTCTAATTGCTTTTAGTTGGTGTGAAGTTTAATTTTAGCCAAGTTTCTGCAAGTAAGTATGGTTATTTTAAGAGACCGCAAATTGAGCACAAATAAAGTACCTATATGTTGGATTGATTGAGAACTTTGTTTTGTGAGAGACTCAAAGGTTACGTTCAGAATGAATAACTTACATGGTCAGAACTAGTCATTCCCATTGATTTATGATTTGAAACAAGCTAAAATCTGGCTTTTAGACTTTTTGAACTAACAATTTTATACTTATAATTATTCTTTTAACAAATTTATATTTATTATATATCTTAATCTTATTTGAAAGAGATGGAGAAAGATGAACAGGGAAAAAGAGGTGCTAGCATTGAGGCATAACTTGCAAATACACCACCTGTGATACTGCCCGCTTTCCATATGGGTGTCAGTTTATGTCCTGGCTGCTTCATTTCTGATCCAGCTCCCTTTTACTCCAGCATGGGAAAAGCAGCAGAATATGAACCAACTGTTTGGGCCCCTGCACCTTTGTGGGAGATCTAGGTGAAGCTGCCCATCCTAGTTTGTCAGTCTCAGCCATGTTCTATGCAGCCAGTTGGGAAGTGAACCAGCTGATGAAATACCTCTCTTTTTTTTCTCCTTTTCGTTCTGTAACTTTGAGTCTCAAATAAATCTTTAAAAAATAGAGAAAAATCTTCCATGTGCTAATAATTCACCCCAAAATGCCCTCAAAGTGCCAGGCCTGCACCTTGCTGAAACCAAGAATGAAGAATTAAATCTGAGTTTCCCACATGGGTGTCAGGAACACAGATACTAAAGCCATCACTTTCTGTACCCTCACTCCAGCAAGGTTACAGACTAACAGGGTGCTAAAAATGGGGCATAGAGCCTAGACTTAAACCTAGTTACTACAAGAAGTAATATAAGAGTCACAAGGCATCAAATGCCTACTTCAGTGATTATTCTTGATACTAGACATTTTTTGCTCCAAAAGATGTTTGTAATGATAATTATGTGCTATATTTTAAAAGTTTAATTAAGTAGTTATCAAATATCAGAAAGAAAACTATAAGCAAAAACATATTAAAAAGTTAATGGCTACAAGAGAAAAGAATACAGAAACTGAAATTTAGAGACTAAGGGAAAAAAAAGTTGCTGTTTTAAGAAAACAGCTCCACCCAGATGAGGTGCTAACCTATGAACTTAGACAATGAGGAAACAACTGAATGAGAATTCTGGTCTTTAGACCTTTAATACTAGAGAGAATTAGAGCTGGGACAATCAGAATAAAATATACTTAACATTGGCTCAGATATTGCACAGAGCTCAATTAGACCCAATCACTATTCTCAAGGAGTTCACAGACCAGCATGGATCAGATACATGACACACCATAGGACAGTGGCATGAAGGATATGCTTGACTTAGACATTGAACCCCATTTCTATAGGACCAGTAACAAACTAAATGTTTAAGTACACATAAACGTATTTTTCTTTGTGTCTCATCTCTTCTAAAATATAAAATGTACTTTCCAACCAAAGTTTAATTAATAAATATTAAATGATAATTTCTTCTATTGTTGCAGTGACATTTATAGTAAAATGAATATTTTAAAACTCTTATCAAACATGTTTTAGAAATTGTGATAAAATTAGTAGAATACCAATACCAAGCAAAGAGCCGAGGAGATAGCATATGCTTTCAGATTCAGTATGTCTAAGGCTGAGATTAACTAAGTCGTAAAATTGTACATAGCTATTCATGCAAATGACTCTAAAATTTCACTCTTAAAATTGTGCCCTACTATTAATTATGACTCTAAAGTTACTAAATAACTATAATTATATGCAGCTTTTATCATTTCTTCACAGGAACTCCATTCTCCAACAATGAAAGTCACTACATATCCACAGACCACTATTAGAAGATACATAGTACAAAATCCTGAGCAGGTAATGTGTCACACACGCTTCTTTCTCAACATAGAATTCATTAGAAGCTTAAGAAGAGTGAATCAGTTATCATAGCCTTAAAATTCAATTGTTAAACATTCTTGAAGTTCTTAAGTGAATATCTAATCATCAGTATCAGACATGTCATCTTTAATTCCAGATGGACTTGCACACATACATTTTAAATCAGAGATACAACAGTGCCAAACAGCTTGGCAATTCTTGGATTAAAAAGGCTTTCTATTTCTTTAGCCCCACCCTTGGGCTACAAAGGATTCTTATGCACTTTGTACCAAAGAAAGGAGGGACAAAGTTCTTTCGCAGACTTCAAATGAAAAGTGTATCAACTTATTACATCATGGGTTGGAGTCTTTGGTCTATTTAGATTTTCCTTTGAGATAGGAGGTAGGATGAAGAAAATTAAAACTCAAAAGTTCAAAAGTGTCTCCATGATGGTGTTGCCTAATGAATGTGTGAACTCTGGTGCCCAGAAATGAGCTCTTTAGAAAATTGCACTATTATATTTCTTACTAAGTTATATAACTGTATGTTTCACAAATTAGGATATAATTCTCTGTCTCACTTTGAAGAGAAAACTAAGAAAACTTATTCTCACAATGATAAGCATTCCTTGACACACACATACACACCCATATGACTCCTTTAGCTGTAAACAGGAGATGCCATGAAATTACCACAACATTAGTTTTACAATTGGGAAAACATGATCCACATTAGAAAATACATTTTTTTTTCACTGTGCTCTGTACTTACTTTAAAGTACAAGGAACAATTCTCCCCCTGCCATAATAAAATAAATTATTGCATCAGCTGTGGAGAGCAAAGGGTTAAATTAGGACGCCATTCTTACTACTGATCTAGGTGGGTTGGGAGGATATATTAGATTTCTGACATCATCTCTCCCCTTCTTTATTCTGCATTTATTGAGTTTAAAATTATGTTCTCACATTTCCTTAGCTAGCGAATCTGCCAGCTGTGCATGTATGTTGATGTGAACCCATTTATACAGTTTCTGAGCTTGGATTATGGAGGTGGGGGTGTGGAGGTAGAGACTGCATTTGCTGGAGTTTTCATATATCCGTGTAAATATTGAAAAAGAATATGATTGCAAATAAAGCAGCTGCCTGCTGCATCTTTAGCAGAAACAAATTTTAAGGAACAAATCTGAAAAGTATGTGAGGAGAAAAGATGAAGTAGGAACAGGAGAGGAGAGTATACCTCCTTCTATCACTTGGCCAATCACTTTACATTTTTCTTTTCTTCATCTCTCTTTCTTTCTTGCACACAAAAACTTGGGAAATATGCATACTGGGATGTGTATTATAGTTCAGATCCCTGACTTTCAAAAAGTTAATCCTAGATAGCACATTATTTTCTGTAATGTGAGAACTAGTATGTTTTGACCTAGGATATATGCAGAGATTTTTTTTAAATATGAAATCATTTAGATTCCAATTCTCTTTGGCAGCAATTGTATATTATCTTAGGTGAATCATTATACTTTCATTAATGGGAAAATGAATTAATATTAATTAAATGTACATTTCATGCTAGAAACTGTACATTTTAGCCAATTCAATCCTCCAGATTATGAGGAAACAGCCCTCAGCAGTTCAGTCAAATATTCCATGAATCTTCATCAATTGTCTTCTATGTTTCAGAAATTTCCCTAAAAACTATAGGTAGAATAATGAATGAACTTAGGTCCCAAACTTCTTAAAACTCGAGTTCTTAACTGGTACAAAACCATTGTTACAAATTGACAGAGGGTGGAACTAAAACTGGACAGTGCAGAGTTGAGAACAAAACATTTGTAAACAAAGATCAAGTAATGGTGAGGTGATTTAATTATCAGACACATAACTCTTATGACCCATATAGCTGCAAAAGAAAAGAAATTAAGAACTTGTGTGTAAGTATGCAACATAGTAGAAAAACCAGAATTGCTCCTTTAAAAGCTTATTGTTATGGCTATGTTCAAATTCAAATAAGTAAATAATTCCTCAGGGAGATGATCCAACAGGAGATTCGAGAAAAATAGTAATTCCATTTTTTTTTAACTTTTTCGCTTTTTAAGAACTAAGACAGATCTCAGATCCTATGCTTTGTAAACAAAAATTATCTAGTCAGTTTGTAAAACAGCTTGAAATCCTGTGTAGATATATTCCCTGTTTTATTTATGTAAGTATATTTCTTTTTTGTTTGTGCTTTTAAATTCCTCCAGGAAAAAATTCTAGTTTAATTACAATATTTATAATAAGCTGAGCCTCCTAAATGGCAATTTTATCCTCTTTCACCTCCCTGCTTGTCTAATCTTTATTTCTCTTCCCTGTAATTAAACTGATTTCAATCCTCTTCTCTCATTATGATTTCCTTCTTTTTCTGTTCAGCCTTTTTATTTTTGCCTGCTCCTCATCTTTACTATTCTCCATTTTCAACATTTTACTCATAGGAATTACCCATTCTGACTTATAACTTGATTCAGATATGAATGAAATACTTATGTTAGTGGATAGAAAACAATTAATATTTATTAGTTTCATTAATTTTCCAGTTGTGCAGCTCTTGCAATGAGAGGTAAGCTGTACAGCCTTCATATAGAAACAAAGACGTATAAAAATGTTTCATAAACCAAAGACAGTTTCCTTCAGGAAGAGAAATAAAATAGTCAGATGTATTATAGATACCATGAGATAAGTACATTTAAAGTGTTATTGGGGTTTAGAGGTTGAAGATAACATATTTGCTTGAGAGGAAACAGGAAATGATTGATTGTGGAATTTAAGATACAGATACGATTACAGTATTATTAGCATTTCAAGGGATATCTTTGACAAGATCTGTTAACTTCTCAGATATGGAGGCTAAAAGACGAAAAGCCAAATATGATTGTATGCATTGCATCTTGAGACACTGAGAGAATCATAAACCAAATAAAAGGATTGAGAAGTGAGGGGAGAAGCAGCTGGTTTGAGAAAGGGAAAATTATGAGATCTGTTTGAAATTAGTGATATTTGAGATGCACGGAGGGAAAGATGTCCAGAAGACAGTTAAAACTGGTTGAGAGAAAGGTCACACTTGAGAAGCAGACATGGAAATTATTATTGTTAAATTTATCATTGAAGCTGTGAGAATACTCACTGCTAGGTAACTTCAAGGGGAGAGGGCAGAACATTGAGGTATAGTTGTTGCCAGAGAGGAACATGAATACCAAGTAACTGAAGCAACTGGAGAGAGTAGCCAAGCATCTCATGCAATGAAAACATTAATGAAGATTAGGTTTGAGAATAGCTTGACTTAAGCAAATGAGCATGATATTCAGGAGAGCAATTTCAATATTCGATGGAGGGGAAATCCAGAAGCAGAAAGCTAATGGATGGACATATCAAGATGAAATGGAAGAAATGAGTGAGAATTAGTCTTCTTGAAAGGATATTGGTCAAAAAAGAGAAGACATGGGACAGCAGCTAAAGGAGGAAACGGAACTTGTGGAGAATTTAGAGAATTGTAAATAAAATGAAATAACCAATAATGTGTAAGGCTAAAGATAGAATAGAGAAAGGATACAAATGGGGTAAGATTCTGGCAATGAAGAGAGGCATCTGATTTCAGAGACCGATAAACAAGTGACTTCAGGGAAAGAAGCAGCCATATATCCTTCTCCTTAACGGTGTGGAAAAAGAAAGTGAGGAAAAATTTTAGGTGTACAGGTTAAGAAAGAGATCTTCATGAATAGATTATGTTGGTTGTATCCATATTTGGGAGCATGAGTGCATGTAGTTGAGAAAATTTTTTTTAAAAAATTTGAATAATAAAATAATATTATAAGGAATCCCCTTTGAAGCTGGGTAGCTTGAACTTGCAAAGAGCAAAGGTTTTACTGAACGTATTTTCAAGCAATGTTTTGTGGCCTGGGAACAGTAAAGTAGATGTTGAAGACTATATACTTTGCTAGATGTGAGAACTACAGCCAGAGTTTCTAAAAGTAACAATTAAAGTTATAAGATCAACCATTCTGAAAACACCTACTAATTTTTAGGGTGGATCTGGTACCGATCCAGATGTACAGATTGAAAAAAAAAAAGAAGAAGATCCCAAAATAGTAAAACTGTCTAGCAGTTCATTGAGAAATCAAAAATTTTAGGATCACTTATATTTTGCTGATTTTTTGGTTTACAATTGTTAGCTCATATAAATATTTGGTTTTACTTTCTTAGAGATTTGAGTAAAAGTAACTCCTTAAATTTGGAGAATTTTTTCACTAAGTCATATCAAATAATAAGATAGTAATACATTATGGAACAAATGAATACTGTTAGTGCCTAAATTACCCTTTAAAAAAATTAAGATGTTTCAGCACTTACATTAAAATTTAGCTCACAGACAAGAATTGATGATATTTGCTGAATTTGTACCCCCATTGTTACTTACTGATTTATTTATTTGAAAGACAGAGTTACATAAAAAGAAGGAGAGATAGAAAGCTGTTACTCTCTCCAGATGGCCTCTAAGGTCAGAACTAGGCCAAGTAGAAGCAAGAACTTGGAGCTCATCTGAGTCTCCCATCTGGGTACTTTGGCTATCTATTAGAGGAAGGGGAGCAGTTGAGATTCCATTCAGTGTCATATGGGCTGTGGATGGGAGAGGTGGCAAAATAACCCGTTCATCCACAATTCCTGCCCATTTTTCCCCCTTAGAAGGTGGTAGTTATATCATTAAGTTTGAGGTGCGTATCAGCCCTTCTCACACATCTGATATTCACTAGGATGATTTCAAAATCAGTAAATTTCATTTCCTCATTAATGCAACTTTTATATATTTTAACTTGACATCCAAGACAGATTCTAAGATTCTAAATATTATGCAATTACATATTAATTTTTACATTTATTACTTTATTATTAAAAACCAATGCCGTTTGTGAACTAAATTTGTGATAAGGAAAGTGAACCTCAGAGAGAGTTAGTGACAGACAAGTTTCCACAGCACAAATAGTGTTTTTTACAAAAAAACTCATATGTAAATTTTATGAATTTATTTCTTCCCAGTGGACTTATTTACATAGATTTTAATAATCAATAGATTTATTATAATCCAAATATGATTCTTTTTTAGTTCTCACCTATTGAGTTTTCTGAAACATTCATACCTTTGACTTCCTATGCTTTCTAAGCACTTCTTTTCTCTCATCATCAGTAGTTTGTTCTTTTGATTCTTAGGTTTCCTAGTACTTGGTCTTCAGTTTTCTTTTATTCAGCAACTGTATGATGTTACTCAACTCTATTAAGTAGGTGGATCTGAAATCTGGATCAGCAACATTGAACTTTGAACCAAGTTTCAGACTTTCGCTTTTAGTTGTGTACTTGATGTCTATGTCTGAGTACTCACCTGCACAATTTTTGTAACAGCGAGTTTTTGATAGTTATTTGGGATCATTTACTACACTGTATACTTTAAGTGCTATGAGGAATTAAAGCACTCGTCAGATTTAGATTCTTATGAGGAAACCATGTAAAATTCGAAATGTTTGTATGTTTTGATTTTTAAGATTTATTTATGCATTTATATAATTGAAAGGCAGAGTGATAGGGAGAGATAGAGACAAAATGAGAAGGTGATCTCCCATTTGCCAGCTTACTCTCCAAATGGCTGCAATGACTGGAGCTGTGCAACACAAAATCCAGGAACCAGAAGCTATCCTGATCTTCTACTTGTGTAGCAGTGATCCAAGTACTTGAACTGTCATTTTTTTTTTTTTTAAGATTTATTTTTATTATTTTTTTATTGGAAAGGCGGATATACAGAGAGGAGATACAGAGAGGAAGATCTTCCATCCGATGATTCACTCCCCAAGTGAGCCGCAACGGGTCGATACTATGCCGATCCGAAGCCAGGAGCCTCTTCCGGGTCTCCCACGCGGGTGCAGGTTCCCAAAGCTTTGGGCCGTCCTCAACTGCTTTCCCAGGCCACAGGCAGGGAGCTGGAAGGGAAGTGGGGCTGCCGGGATTAGAACCGGCGCCCATATGGGATCCCGGGCGTGCAAGGCGAGGACTTAACCACTTGCGCCACCGCGCCGGGCCCATGAACTGTCATTTTTAACATTTGCTGTTTTCCAAGGATATTAGCACAAAGCTGAATTGGAAGTGGAGCAGCTGGGCTCAAACTGGTACTCTGTTATAGCATGCCAGTGACTGAATTGGCTGCTTAATTTGCTGTACTAGAGTGTCCACCCCAATTTTTGTTTTTGATACCATTGTCCATACCACAGACACCTCAGATTCAAGGTTTCAGAGTGACCTTTGACAAATACTGTCCTGGGGGCTGGTGTTTGGTCCAACAGTTAAGATACCAGTGGGTAATGTTGAAACTATTGGAGTTGAGTCATAGCTGTGTCTCATGACTCCATATTTGTGCTAATGTTGAACCTGGGAGATAACAGGTAATGGTTCAAGTAGTTGGGGCCCTGTCACCTGTATGGAAGAACTAAATTGAATTCATGATTACAGGCTTTGACCTGACCCAACTTAAGCCATTGTGTCTGGAGAGTGAACCTTTTCTCAAGTTAATAATAATAATAGTAATAATAATAACATAAATATCTCAGTTTAAACAAAAATACCATTCTTGATCATAAGGATAATGTCCTAACTTTTTTCATCGCCCGTGTACTCTTTTTGTTCTCTAATTATTCTAAAGTCAGTTTGTGTTGATCTTACACTCCTGTTTAAGAGTGATTAATGGTTTCAGATTCTGCCAAGTGTATCCATTAAATATAGCTTACTCTTTTCCAAACTTAGTGACTTATATTATTTTGTTTCCTTCACTTGTAAAAATCATTTTCTTCCATCTCCAATCCAAGGACCACATCAACCTTTGAAACATCACCTGATCAAAGTACCTCCTATGAACACTGCCACATGAAACTCAGTTTTCCTGCATTAGATCTCCATCTTACATATGTCCTTTATCTTTAGACTTATGAACACTTCTTACATTCTGTCTTGTACTATAGATATTTGTGTTCATATATTACCTAGTCTATGGATTGATGAAATGATCTAATAAAGACCCACATAGCAAATATTTTAGGATTTGCAAACCAGATAGGCCGTAGATCTTCTTTTTTTTAAAAAAAGTCCCATCTGTTTTGGTTTTGCTTTGCTTTGTTATTTGCTTGTCACAGAGAGAGAGAGATCCCACCTATGGTTGACGTTTTAAATAACACCCACTGAAAAGGCAGGACTAAGGCTGATACAGAGTCAGGAACTCAATCAAGGTCTCTTGTATAGGGGACAGAGAGACAACTACTTGGGATACCATCATCATAAGAGGTGCATTAATAGGAAACTAGAACCAGGAGTTGTAGCCGGTAATGGACCCTGTGTATTCCAATGTGGGACACAGGTGTCTTGAGCAGTCTTAATTGACAGATTAAACAACCTCTCCCATTTTTTCCCCTAGTTCTTAAAAATCTAACTACCATTCTGCATTTGAGAACAGTGAACTAAAAAAGGTTTGTGACAATTTTATGAACACTGATCAATATTAAATTCTCAATCTCATTCATGTTTATACGCCTCATAGCACTTAACAAAGTACATCATGCGTAGCAAGCACTTAAATCTTAGATGATTGCAAATAGAAACAAAGAGATCCTTTTAGTAAACAAACACAAAGTATCTTCTGAAAGAATTTTTCCAAGTATGTGCATCTTGAGATGTAATCATTCACCAATGAGTGAAATTTACTCACATATTTTACCAAAATGTCCCAAAATGTCGATTTAGCTAAACACCTTTTAGTCAAACTTCAATACAAGAAGCATATTGCTTTCAGTTCAAGGTATAGTACTTTCTCAACAACCAGCGTTTTGGTCCTGTTGTTTGGAAAACACTTATTATAGCAGACTACAAAAATGTTAGCATCTTTTTTTTTTAATTTGAAGTGATTCTATGCACAATAACTATTCATTATTTTGATATTTCCCCCTATTCCTTTCCCTTGTTTCATAAAATAGATTAGTGAAATCTTTGTATCAAAACAACAAATAAAACATCCCCAGCTCTCCCAATGTAAGCAAGACTCAATGAAAAATAAAAGAGAAGAATAATGCAGTGCATCATACATTTATTTTAGACTTCTTACCTGATTCTTATAGTCCTTTCTTGGTTTCATTCAGATCTTGGACATGTCACCAGCCTTTATTTCATTGGCTGACATCTTCTAACCACTTGAGTAATCCTACACTAATTTAGCTGACTACACAGAGATACAGTGGCTCTTGAAGCCTTTACTCTGCTTTAATATTCAAAGAATATGTTGCACTGAAAGTTTAGCCTTGATTATAATCACAAGTAAGAATTGTACACTTCAAGGACATCCAAATTGAGTACCAGGAAAAAATATTATTTAATATAGTTCTATGTACTTTATAGGTTTGTAATTACATATTCTGTTTATTTTGCAAGTGTTCAAATGTGCTTTTACTTAGGAAAAAGAAAAAAACCTGCCTGGGAAGCCACTTTAAATGAGGTTGAACTCATGCTTGTCTACCTAAGAGGAAATTTATTAAAACTTGCCTTAGGAATAATAAAAAAATTACTTTTCTACCCTACTTCAATCTCACCCAAAGATTTTTAACCTAATAAAATGTAGCATGAAAAATTTCAGATTGTTCCTTTTGATAAAATGGACTATATCACTATTTCCTTCCGTTTGTCTGAACGTCACTGAGATGCCATTCCACTCTCTTCCTCAAGACTGCCAGACTCTGTTAGAGACTGCATATTTGCTTCAGTGAAGAGACACAGAAAAAATTCCTTTAAAAGCAAAACACAATCTTTCTTGTCTCTATAGGAACCACTGTCGCCATTCCTAAGAGGGGGCCAATTCTTCCCAGGAAACAATGTAATTTATGAAAAAACAATAAGAAAAGTCGAGAAGCTAAATACAGAACAGGTAAGTAATATTTATTTTTTTAAGTTTTTATGTACATTTATAAGTGAAAGTATTTTCATGAAGTTAAAATTACTTTTCATAACCCTTTTCTCATATGAAGTGTTATTGTCTCCATTTTACTGGAAAGGAAGACAAAAATATGTAAAGTCAGATAGCAAATTGGGTCAGATAGTGATTGTGTGATGGTGTGTGGCACATCAGATTAAGCTACCACCTGCAATGCAAGCATCCCACATGAACACAAGTTTGAGTACCACCTGGTCCACTGCTGATCCAGCTCCTTAGTAATGTGCCTAGGAAAGCAGGAGAGATGGCCCAAGTTTGGAGGTGCTTGCACCCATATGAGAAACTCAGAATTCCAGGCTCCTATCTTCAGCCTGACCCAGCTGAAGTCACAAAATTGGATGACTTGAAAACAAGTGAAATTTTGTTGACAGTTTTGGATCCCAGAAGTCTGAAATCACTTTATGGCTATGGCCATGATCCCTCTGAGGATATCCAAGATGTGGTTTCCATTACACATCTCTCAGCTTCTGGTAACTTCAGGCATTCCTTGGAGTGTGGTACATTGCCCTAACCCTCTGTCTTCACCTGGTACTTCCCTCTGTGTTCTGACATCATCTTATCTCTGCACAAATCTATTTCTCTGATAAATTTTCCATTTTTATAAGGAGCCCATCTTGATGACATCATTTAAACTTGGTTACCTATAGATGACACTATTTCCAAATAAGATCACATTTTAAGTTACTTGGGGTTAGGATTTCAGCCAGTCTTTGAGAGGACAGTAAAGTTCAACCCATAATAACTGTTACTGAATTAGTTTTAAAAAGAATTCACTTTTCTCATATGTAAATGAAACTAATATATACTAGGTATGTCTTTTAAACTCCTTAGCATGGGAATGTATTTTATGATCACAATGGGTAGTTGTTAGCAGAGTCACAGAAACTATCACATCGTTTATTTGATTCCCGGTAAAATTGAAATGGAAAAAAAACAATCTCTTAGTCATGTACATCCAATAATTTTGTGTGCTTCGAAATCTGGATATATTCTGAAAGATTTGATACAGTATGTGTATAATACAAATATTCCAGAGAAGCACAGAATATTTCTGGATACTTTGAGATTGATCAAATACATTTCATCAAATATATCTGTTCTTCAAGGAACAATTTGCTTGATCTATCAAATTATATGGATTATTTATAGCCAAGCAGACTGCCAAAAAAAATTAAACCTGACACATTGTGAGGCACATCATTTCATTTTGCTTCTAGCTTGTTGTTTCAGAGAAGCTACATGACTTTTATAATTATTGGTCTCTAGAGTAAAAAAAAATGACTATCCTGTATATTTTAGTTAGCTCAAACAGCTGAAGAAAAGCTGTATGAATAGAACATTGCTGCTGCTTATTGCTTTTTAAACTTTCCATTTCAGAATAGTTTAAATTTACAAAACAAAACCTGTGAAGCAGTAAAAAGAGTTTCTATATACCCGACTCCCAGCTTCCTCTACTGTTAACATCTTACATTAGTATGTCTGTCACTAACTATAAGCCATACCTAGCTTCCTTACTGTTAAATATACTATTTACTTGCTTATGTCCAATTTTTCTTTTTAATGACTTGAAACTATGTGGGAGTTTTGAAGTTTCCATAGAAGCTGTTCAAGGAACTGTGCAGTTAGAACAAACTTGAACTGCTTTCTATTACTTGAGTCTCCTCAGTAAAGGCGATTATGAGGATAAACTGGATAAAGCCAAAGTGTGGATGGGCATATTTACAATTGCATATATGAGTAAGATAATACTAGCTCTTAGAAAAAGTCTCTTTTTAGTGAAAGGATAGTAAAGTAGTACCAATTGCATGATAACTGTCCAGCTCATTAGATTTTCACTGTGTATAATTCTTTTTTTCTCTATCAAAACCAAAGAGTACGCTAAATCAATAGTGTTTGTTCTTTCATACTGTAAAATTTTAAAGCATGTGTGTGCTTCAAAATATAGTTAATATGTAAGTATATTCCTGTAGAGCAGTATCTTTAGTTGGAAATTGGTTAATACAAAGATATCAGTGAATGGTTCAAACACTAAAAGGGCTTAAGGAAACTGTGAGGTATCACAAAGGTGCAAGTGGCAATGTCCTAGTCAAGAGTCAACTGATACTTTGGAAACAAATACAATTAAGAAATGGGCTTGCGAGGGTAGTATTATAGTATAGAGTGTGAATCCACTATCTGTGATTCTGGCATCCCATTAGGCTGTCAGTTCTAGTCCCAGCTACCGCGTTTCCATTCCTGCTCCCTGCTAATGGTCTGAAAAAAAAAAAAAAAAAAACCAGCAGAAGACAGCCAAACTGTTTGAGCCCCTCACGTGGGAGACCTAAGACAAACACCCACCTCCTAGTTTTGGCCTGGCCCAACTGTGTCTGTCACAATCTTTTGGGGAGTGAAACAATGGAAATCAGAGAAGAAAAACACAGGCAGGCAGCTTTTTTTCCCCCTTGATTATCTTCTGTCAATATGCCCTTTCTGAATATTTTCTTGTTTATTTAAAAAATATTAATTTTCTTAATACAGTTTCATTGGCTCAGGGATTTTTTGAATTTTTTTTTTTTCAGAAACAAACTTCGGTTTCCTTTTTTTTTTTTTTTTTCCTTTTCTTTATTTTTCCCCCAGGAAGGATGCTATTTCAGTAGTGTATAAATTTCCCACTGAGCAATGGTCTGCTCAGGTTGTCAGTGTGATTTTATGCTATTCCAGTAAATGGAGGTATTTTGTAACATAAAAGAACACATTCATTCTCACCATGTGCAAGAAAGTTGTAAGTCACATACAGTTAGTTTCCTAAACATAAAGATCTTAGTGTACTTGTAACTCTTGAAGTATGAGAAAAGCCTTAATTAAATTTTTCTATGACCTTTACTAACCTTCCAAGATAGCATCTATTTAAAAATGTGCTTTCTTAGATATTTTTCTTCCTTTCAAAATATTTTTTTATATACATGAAATTATAATTTGTGTACTTGGTGAAAATTCACAGAGCATGAAACAAATATAAACAGATAATGCTATAAAATATTAAATGCTATACAATGAAAAATAAGTTTCCTTATCTGGACTGTCTTTTCATCTCTGAGATGATCATTCCTACAGAATCTCTTGTTCTATGTATATCAAAGCAGTTGTATATATTTGAAAATGCATACTCATACATACATTTAAAAGTTACGCTTTAAGAGCCCGGCCTAGCAGCTAAAGTCCTCACCGTGAACGCGCCCGGGATCCCAAATGGGCGCCGGTTCTAGTCCCGGCAGCTCCACTTCCCATCCAGCTCCCTGCTTGTGGCCTGGGAAAGCAGTGGAAGACAGCCCAAAGCTTTGGGACCCTGCACCCGTGTGGGAGACCTGGAAGAGGTTCCTGGTTCCCAGCTTCAGATCAGCACAGTACCAGCCATTGCACTCACTTGGGGAGTGAATCATTGGACAGAAGATCTTCCTCTCTGTCTCTCCTCCTCTCTGTATATCTGACTTTGTAATAAAAAATAAATAAATCTTTAAAAAAAAAGTTACGCCTTAGGCAATATAACTTTCAGTCGTGCATACTTTGGCTTTTCTCACTTAAAATAGATTCAAAATTATTTCATAAAAATTTTTTTTAAATGAATTACCAGTTTTCCACCAATTACGTGCTTTCCACCAATTACGTGCCAATTAAATGAATTACCAGTTTTCCACCAATTACGTGCTTTCCAGTTTTCTACAGTCAAAAGTAAATGCAGCATTTAATTTCTACTATCAGAGTTAATGACAGGTTCATGAATATGAATTTATAATCCAAAATACATTATTTTCATTTGAAAATAGTTTTCCAGGTGTCCCTTATCAAAGCGGAATAATAACAAGATAATATAGCATATTCAAGTACACCTGAGATCCCTAAATCTGAAATAACTGTATGCAATTTCTAGTGCGTACTGTTTTCTCACCAGAAGGGGAAAAAAAAAAAACCTGATAAATGAATGAGAAAAGAACAAAGCTTTAGCTTAAAATTGACAAACCCCAATTATCTTGATGTCAGTACAAGTCATCCCCGCAACCTGAATGATCTCTAAGCTACATGTGTTCCAGTTCCAATTTTGCCATTAACTAGCTATGTTATTGTAAGTACTTCATCTTAATTTTCTGGACCTCAGGAAGATAATATACATCATACACACCTGCAAAATTAGTGGTTATATAATGGCACGTCTAAAGATGACAATGTTGAGGTAGTAATAATAATAAATGTTTATTTCTCATCTATAATTCTAGTACAAATGCTTGACAATTTAGGCATTAATTCATTTATTCATCACAGCAACCCAATGAGAATATCTGTATTTTACAAAAGAGTAAACTGAGCTTCTCTTACGGTTACATAAAAGGCTCCTCAAGATTACAGAGTAAGTGGCAGGATCAAAGTTGTAGTCTGGATTTTCTGGTTTTCACAAACCAGTGATTAGTTTCTAACATTTTACTTTTAAATTCAAGCTCAGTTTTCATAGGCATAAAAATTTCCCCCTACTGTTAAGTCTAATATGCTCCTGACATTTCAAAATGGCTAAATTATATTATTCTCTATTTTTATATCTACTTGTGTTCACTATCATAGTGTTATTTTATAATTAGATATTAAAGCACACGTTTAATCCTTAAAGAAATATTAATTAATATTAGTATGCACTTTCGTTTTAGCATTATGAAGAACTGAAATATTAATTTAAATCAGAACTTGCAATTCCATTGTCAATCTAGGTTAACATTTTGAGTGTCATAGCCCCCTGATCAAATAAAACGACAATTTCATGCGAATTTCCCCAATGGAATAAAGTCACAAAAGCTGTTAAGTTCTAAGATTTGAATTACTGTGTTAAACAACAGGTTAAATTTTATTGTTTTCTTTAGTAGAAATTTATATTCTCAGTGACTGTTTTTGATACGTGTGTGTGTGTTTTAGGAGTATTATCCTCAAGTTCAATGCCATCATCACATTGTACAACAGCCCCAGATCATCCATTCTCCACACTGCCAACAGTCACATTCTAGTCAACAAATACAGACTATCACAGGAAGTGATTCAATTTCTACAAATATTGGAAATGAATTGGCCCATGGTGGATCAAGCCAGATACATGAGCAGGTAAGATCAATCAGAGATGCTTATCAAAGTCAAATTTATTTTTTAAGACCTTTCTCGCACTACTATACTCACATGAGCTGATCATGAAAATCTTGCATTGTTATAGTATTTAAAAACAAACTTTCTGTCTTCTCTAAGAAAGCAAAAGCAATACTTAATCTTTATTGTATGTTACCATCTATTTAATGAATACCTAGCTGACATTCAATTCTAAAATGGGCCTCAGAACTCATATAACATCAATTACTTTTTTTTTTCACATTGTTGGTTGATTGGTTACATCACAATATCTTATTGCATGTGATACAGGCTGTTTCAGGTCATAATAATATTACAATTTACAGATACTATTTTTTGGATTGACATCATTTCATCTTAAATTAAGGCAGACACGTGGTATCTAACATTTTGGGATTGGCTCATTTCCCTTAGCATTATGGTTTCCACTTGGGTCCATTTGGCCACAAAGAAATGCATTTTGTTTTGTTTTGCTTTTTTTGATAGCTGAGTAGTATTCCATGGAGTAGATGAATCATAGCTTTCTTATCCAGTCTTCTGTTGATGGGCATTTTGGTTGCTTCCAAGTTTTTGCAATTACTGATTGTGCTGCTGTGAACATAGGGGTGCATGTTAGTTTCTTGTGTAACAGGCGTTTTGGATATATTCCTAGGGGTGCTATTGCTGGATCATATGGTGTGCAGATTTTGAGTTGTTTGAGTGTTCTCCATACTGATTTCCATAGAAGCTGTACCAACCTTCAGCCCCACCAGCAATGGAGTAGGGTTCCCTTTTCCCCGCATCCTTGCCAGCAAGTGCTGTTAGTGTTTCTTTGTATTTGGGCCAATCTTACTGGCGTTAGGTGGTACCTCATTGATGTCTTAATTTGGATTTCCCTTATTGCAGGAGAGGTATGACATTAAGGCCTGGTGCTATAGCCTGGTGGCTAAAGTTCTCACCTTGCACGTGCCAGGATCCCATATGGGTGCCGGCTGTAATCCTGGAGGCCCCGCTTTCCATCCAGCTCCTTGCTTGTGGCCTGGAAAGCCAATCGAGGGCAGCCCAAGACATTGGGACCCTGCACCCACATGGGAGACTCAAAGGAATCTCCTGGCTTTGGATCACCTCAGCTCCAGCCATTGTGCCCACTTGGGGAGTGAATCAGTGGAAGGAGAATTTTCCTCTCCATCTATTCTGCTCGCAATATATTAGACTTTCCAGTAAAAATAAATAAATCTTTTAAAAAGATTATGACTTTAAATGGACAACTAATTGAGGATAATATTACCTAAGATATTGTAGTGATCACAAGCATGAAATTACTTCCTTTATGTCTTCTTTCAAAATTTATTATACTAAGTGAAATCAGAATGTGCATCTATTTTATTATATATTACAACAAAATAGAAACTAAAACATAGTTACTAAGGAGAAATCTCCTGGGATACAATCCTCAGTGACTAATTTTTGTTATGAAATCTTCAGAATCTTGTAAACATCTGCTATGCAAGTGTTACAGGAAAAAAAGGTTTTCTTGTATCTTGGTACAAAGCAACAATAATAAACAGGAACACTGAGGAATCAGTCACCATTAGTATTTTTTCATGTCAAATCGACCTCTCTCATAGGAAACTTTTACTCAGACAAATGAATAATAAATAAAGTAGGCTCCTAACCATGTAAGAATTTGATGGCGCTACATGGAATGTCAGATGGTCTTATTTTTAAGAACTGTAATTTTGAAGTATTATTATGTGTATATTACATGAAAAAAAAGATTTAAAAATCTGTTTCCCCAATCTAAAATTTGCCTAAGATGTTATTTCTCTGAATGTGTGTAAATGATAGCTCCTAGATAAGGTCTCAAGCATTCTAAAGTGTATTGATTTTCTTATGTATTGGGTTAGTAATGACCATAAAAGAGACATTTTATTAGGTTGTCATTTTAAAATTGTGATTTTTATAGCACAAAATTGTTCAGATATCAATAGTTTCATGTATTTCAAACAATCCTTAACTTTATTTTCTAATTAGGGCAAAGTAGCAAACCTGTGAAACATAGTACCAAACAAAATATGAAGGGGGATGAACAACATGCTTTGGGAAAATAAGAGACAAGAAATTAACTTCAGCTGGGAGATCAAGTGAGGCTTTCCTGAGGAAGTGGAAATTGATCTGGGATTTGAAAACTAGGGGATTTCCATATGTGGTCTTCTGGTGTAGCCTGGAGATAGTATTCTCGATAGAGAAAATCACACAAACAAGCATTCTGGTCCCAGAAAAGTATATTTGGACTTCAAGGCTAGTTGGTGGTTTAATATGTATGGCATAAAAAGCATGTGATAAAGAGCACTAGAGTGCAATGTTAACATGAATTGTTAAGACCATTGTTAAGGCATATAGGATTAATTGTGTTCTTACAATGATCCTATTAGGAAAGTATTAATGTATCCCCTGTTCAAATAAGGAAACAGAACCATCAGGGAGGTTAAGCTTTCTCTCTCTCTCTGCTATTTCTCCTCAATCTTAAATAAAGAAATAAATAAAATATAAAGTTAACAAAGTAGAATATTTAAGGCAATTTTATTTTTACTAAAAAGTTTAACAGAAACTTAACAATTGTACATATTTACAGGATGTTATGTGATGCTTTCAAACATGTATACATTACATAATGTCCAATCAGGGTAAATACATATTTATATTTATATTTATATTTATATTTATATTTATATTTATATTTATATTTATAAATATTTAATATTTATAGTGAAAACCTTTTAAAAATTTTATTGTGTAGGTTAGAGAGAAAGAATTATACCACACATTAACATTATCTATGTTAACTCTATTGTACAACAGTACTCCTGAACTTCTTAGATTATTCTATGACTTAGTACTCGTTAATCAAACTTTCCCAATCACGCCTCCTTCCCTCTCTCTCTTCTGGTAACCACCTTTACTCTTTCAACTTCTACAGGATTTTTTTTAATCCATACGTGAATGAGATCATGTGTCACTTGTCAGTTTGAACTTGTTTATTTCACATAACATAATGACTCATGTTTTTGTAAAAGACAAGAAACAATATGTAATTTTTGTGCTGAAGTAATATTTTGTGCTGAAGTGCATATGTTACTTTTATTTATCTGTTCATTAGTGAATGAACACTTGGGCTGTTTTCATGTCTTGGCTGCTATGAGCAGTGATTCCATATACATATGGAAGGGCGTATGACTCTTTTACAGTGATTTACTTTCCTTGGACATGTATCTAGTAGTGGGATAACGAGATCATATGGCAATTACATCCTTGAGGGTTTTTGTTTTTGTTTTTAAGAAAACATCCATACTTTTCCCCATAAGACCATATTAATTTGCATCTCAGCAGTCCTTCTCAAGATTTATCTTTTGTCTTCTTGACAGTAGCCAATCTAACTGTAGTGACATAGTGCTTTGTTGTGTCTTAGATTTCACATGTTGCTGACAATTAGTAATATTAAGCACTTTTCATGTATCTGTTGGCCATTAGTGTTTCTCCTTTTGAGAGCTGTTTTTTTAGACATTGTAAATATTTAAATTGGAATATTTGGGGTTTCAGGCTATCGAGTTGCTTAAATGATATGTTCTAGTTGTTAGTCCCTTGTCAAATATATGTCTTGCAATTATTTCCTTCCATACCATAGGCTGTCTGTTCACTCTATCTATTGCTTCCTTTCCTGTGCATAGCTGTTTTGTTTGACGAAATCTCATTTGTCTTTTTTTTTTTTCGCTTTTATTTCCTGTACTTTTAAGGACTAACCCAAAAAAATTCTTTGCTTATTCTAATTTCCTCAAGCATTTTTCTATACTTTCTGTTAGTGGTTGGTAATTTGCAAGTTTTACGTTTAATATATTTTATTTGAAAGAAGAGTCAGAGAGAGAGAGAGAGAGAATGAGAGAGAGAGAAAGAGAGAGAGAGAGAGAAAGTGAGGTAGGAGTAGGGGAATCTTACAAAACCTGATTCACCCCTCAAAGGAGACTGGAACTTCTGATCTCCCTTGTGGAAGGCAGGGTCCAAGTACTTGGAAAGTCTTCTACTGCTCTCCCAAGTGCATTAACAAGCAGGTGAATCAAGTGGAGCAATTGGGAGTGTGACTCAAGCCATATGGAAGCTTAACTTGCACACTGGCTTTACAAATGGAAGCTTAACATGTGTGCCACAAGACCAGCCCCACATTTAGGACTTTAATCCTTTTTCAATTTTATTTTTGTACATAGTAAAATATAGCATATTACTTTTATTCTTCTATGTGTGAATATCCAATTTTCCAGTAATTATTTAATTGAAAAGACAGTCCATTTTCTAATGCATGCTCTTGCCACATTTGTCAAATATCAATTGGCTGCAGATGTATGGGTTTATGTCTAGAGTTTCTATTCTGTTCCCTTTTAATTTTTGCTATGTCAAAAATATGCTGTTTTAATTACTGCAGCAGTAGTTCCTTTGTTGCTGGGGTCTTTTCTTTTTCCAAACAAATTTTGTATTCATTTTTAGTTCTGAGGAAAATGTCATTGATATTTTTTTAGAGGTTGCATTGAATCTGTAAATTATCTTGGGTAATACAAATCTTTTAACAATGTCAATTCTTCCAATACATGAGCAAAAGACATCTCTCCATATCTTTATGTTCTTTTTAATATCTTTGATCAATAAAATGCGTAGTTTTAATTGTAGCACCCTTTTACTTCTTTGGTTAAACTCATTAAATAGTTTATTTTTTGTAGGTATTGAAAATAGAACTGTTCTCTTGATTTAATTTTCAAATAATTCACAATTGGTATAAACAATGCCTCTGATTTTTGCATGTTGAGTATTTATCCTTACAATTCCGCTGAATTTCTTTATTAATTCAAGTATCTTTTTGATAGATCCTGTAGGGTTTTCAAAAAAAAGATTTTGTTACTTGCAAATGGTGACAATTTCGCTTCCCTTTATTTCATTCTCTTTCCTAGCTGTTCTGG